CTCCGAATCCCAATATTTTAAACGACACTAAAGCTGAAACTGACAATATAGTTGAGCGCAGTAGAAACATTTGTTTCTTGAGTCCTTCGATGGCCTCCGGATCTTCAAAGCGCGTTTTCACTCGCCAAACCAAGGATCTTCTGAAAACAGCGTTGAAGTCCTTTTCGCTGACATCTTGAAACTTGAACATTCGGTTGGCTTCAAGCCTTTTCCAACCCACGCACTGGATCATGCGGGTTCTTAAGCCATACGGCTTTCGCCCTGCAATACCTTCTCCATGCACTCATGAACTTCTTGAACAGGTCCTCCCGCAACCGCTTGTTCGTTCCAGGCGTCTCCTGACCTAGCAACCATAGCTTGTAACATCACATTAAGCAATTGCAAACACATTCACACTGTTCGGAGTCTTCTTTGGTTTACATTCTAATCCGGGCCTGTCAGGAGAAAGCAGCCATTGAGCTGCTCTACCTGCTTCCGCATCTCGTCTTCATTCCACCAAATGTTGGGGTCAAAGTACGCAAAGTTGCTATTGTACATGGCCTCGGGGGGTGACGGCAATGCATTGATATATGAACAGCTCACTGCATTCCGCGTGTACCCGTTTTTGGTAAGCCTGCCTCAAGATGAGCTAAATACAAGATTGCCCCACACCACCAGAAGACAAGCCAATAAAGATCCGGGAGACATTCAAGCCACGTTTCGCCAGCGCTTGCGCCGCTTGGCAGCATTTGAAAGCGTCAACGTTGCACCAAAATGTTTGGCTGGCACTGCGCCCTTCAAGCAATGAGGAACTCGCACGTACATGTTCGAAACGTTTTCTCAGTCCTCCTGACAAGCAAAGGAACTGGAGGAACACGGTGTGATGTCTTGTTGCATACAGTGCGTCATTAAGACCCACTTGTTAACCATTGAAAACAACACTCCACTAAATGGCTTTCATCGCACCCGCCTGGCGCGCAACACCCCCATCAGGGAAAAAATCAGCAATCTTCGTAGCAGCATAAGGGAGTGGCTTCGGTGTATCACACCATTCAATCATGTAGTTGAGCAGCTTTTCATTGTCAGTTCTCGGGCCAGTCGGCTCTTCAGCTGTTGCACAACCCTGGCAGTATGCACGCGCCAGTGTCTTAGAATTATTTCTCCTGGCACTTCACTATCGTCATCAGCGCGTTGCTTTCGAATCAGACTATCTCCCAGGTTGCACACTGCCGCCTTTACACACTGCTCAATGAATTGCTCTTCGTTTCCGTCATCATTGCGCCACATCCTCTGGATTGCACTCGACAGATCAGCTGGGCTCCGTTCCACATCTTCAGGGAGTCTGCGGAAAAGGCCCTCCAACGCTAATAGAAAAGCTTGGGTCCTTCCGGAGTGAGTAGGTACCCCCTTGTGTCTCTGGAAGGCACCACCGCTGTGCAGCGCCCAACAATCACCCTCCTGAAAACGTAAAATATTTTTCACCTTCGATAATCCAAAGCATTAATGCACGCTCCCTCATGAACATATCCACGGAACGAAGACACAAGATAGCTAGGGCAGCTGCGCATAAGCGCACTAAATAATCAGGAAATGCTGGAAACTGTCTTTGCGCATCTGCACGGTGTTTCTTCACAAGATACAAAATAGTATCCGGATTTTGAAACGGCTGAGGTGCCTGTTTCTGAAATTCGGCGTTTGTCAACGATAAAGACTCAAACAGGTTGTGAAACTCCTCAGCAGATGTCATTGCCAGGCATAAGCCGCCTCCTGCGCAATTTTTGCCATGTGGCTTCAGTGATTTCTGACTCGCCTAGCGCAATATTTTCTCCAGTGAAATTTCAATACACAGAGGGGGGCGCCAAGCGCGGCGGCGCCAGTACGGTGTTGGCAAGGGCATGGGTGGTGGGGGTCCACCGCAGGCGAGAGATGTGTTGGAAGATCAGTATGAAGTTGGAGAAGTTGGCACTTGTCGGGGCTTAGGAGAAGCCCGCGTTTGCATGCCTCATGTTGGAGAGTGTGCAGGAGGCGATGCAACGTGAGTTGGGCGCGAGCAACGAGGACGTTATCGTCTGCATATGGTATATCTGAGAGGGGGGTGCGGGTGGAATGAACGTCGTGCATAAGTACAGATAGAACACGAATGAAGATACGGACAGCCTTGACGGATACCTCTGGAGATGGAGTAGGTCGAAGAAAAATGAGAGGAGTCTGTGAACTTGCCATTGGAGTATAGCGCAAAGATAGCATGCACCAATGGGCATGGGAGACCCATGCGGACAAGGGAGGCAGTGAGATGGTCATGGCATCCAAAAACAAAACATAGAGCGAGGTACGTGTGCCTCTCATACAGTTCGACCATACAGCGAATGAAAAAAAGCGGGGCAGCGGCGGAACGTTTTTTACGAACGCCATATTGAAACTCACTGATTCGCGAATCGAAGTACTTCGCACGGCGGGCTTGCAAAAGAGCGTACAACTTGTAGATTGCGTTGGCAAGGCTGATGGGGCGGGGGCAGAAGCGGAGCGCCACACGCAGCTGCGTTAAGGTGAATGGAGAATAGGCATCATCTATTGTGGGAAAAAGAGGAAATACACTGGGGGAGGACAGTCGGTGGGCTTCCAGACGTTGTCTCGCAAGTGTTGCGCCGAGACTTCAGGTTTTGCAACTGCAGTGGAGCGGCGCCCAGACGGCCAGCAAACGGATTGCGTGCGTGGTTGGTATTTATTGCGGACTCGCCGAATGGTTTTCCAGCGCTGGGATGGAGAAGAGCGATGATCCGCCTCCAATTGCTGGAGAACCCAACGTTTTTTGTCCCGCTTCGCATGAGCCCGGATTTGGCGACGGAGTGCTGCTACATCCTCAGAGGAGAGATGCGCAGGAAGTTCGGCCTGGGTAGGTGGGGAGAAATATGGCTTCGAATGAAGGAGGGCTTACGAGAAAAACAAGCAGACACGGCTGTGGCCAGCGACTGGACGAGGTGGTCCGTTTTCTGGGGTATAGAAAGGCCCGAGAACCATGTGGAAAGCGGGTCAGGTGTGAGAGGGACGGGGGAAGGAGGGGAGGTAGAGTATCAGCGTGCAATCTGGAACTCTTTTTGTCATCAGCTCTGCGGCGCCGCGCTGACCAAGTTCCGCCGCTTGCTCTTTTGCGCCTGGAAGTATTGCGCCATACCAGAGGTCTCTTGGAGTCCACTGTTTCCAGGCAAGCGCAACTTCACTAGACATAGCCGCCGTTTTGCCGGCGAAGGAACGGTCATCAGCGAAGATCACCTGTTCAGTGTCCGGATAGGAAGTTCTAATAGCAAGCGCGCCAACTGTCTCCTTGAGTCAAGGATGCGCAAACTTGCGCTGGATGAGGAAATGTTTCTCCCATGAATTGCAGGTACCGTTGCTGATCAGTCCAAACATCGGAGAGCGGCGTCCAGACCCATGTGTTGCATGACACGCAGCGCCAGGAGGGGACGCGCGCGATCAAAGGCTTTTCTAAGTCCAGAGCGCCAATAAACGAATTTTAGCACGCTTTCAACAACAATGGGCCCAGGGCGCGCAAGACCTGTCTCAGGCAGGCCACCATAGACATCTTCAGGCAGCACAGATTGACTTCACGCGCAAGTATTTGAACCTTGCTCTAGCACAGATACGCCAAGTAATTGAGGCAACAGACACCGGTCGTAGGTCACCAGCAAATATACAACCATCCGGCAGGGGTGCTTTATCTTTGCTGTGCCTTGTTTGTTTCCAAGCGATCGGTGCCGGACCAACATTTTCACACTTGTTGTAGAAATTCTTCGGAGCGACATCCCTGTTTTCGACGACAGTTACACACTTTGGCAACATCCACCCCAGCTTTCAGCGACAATCAGTGTTAACGTCCCAGTAATAAACCATGCATCAATAATAATCTGCTTTTTTGCCGGCCAGAATTGTGCACTACTACTTTTAATTGCGCCAACATCCTTTCCCCAAAATGGATTAAAAAAAATTATCATTTATCAATTGGAAACCACCCCGATAATAATCTGCATTTTTGCCTGCCAGAAATTTGTACTACTACTTGTAGTTGTGCCAGAAATTTGTAAGATTCTTTTAAGTTCTCCTATCTGCTTCTTCTTCTTCCTCTTCTTCTCTTCTTTTGTTGAAGCTCTTTTTTAATCTTTGCCCATTAGATTTCCAAAACAATGGCTAGCCACAAGCTTTTGGTTTCCTTATTCAAGCCCTATCAAACAAATACAAGAAATTATCTTCAAAGGGTGCCCGTTTAGACTCCCACCCCCTGCAGTTATAGACAAGCCTACAATAATCAACCCCCTTCCAGCCCTGCTGGCTTGTCCTTGCCTCGTGCTTTCCCTCTTACGTTTAAGTTCTCCTATCGCCTATCTTCTTCTTCTTTCTTCTTCTTTCATGTTCTTCTTTTGTTGAATCTTTTTTTTCATCTTTGCCCATCAGACTTCATCTTTGCCCATCAGATTGCCAAAAACATTGGCTAGCCAAAAGCTTTTGGTTTCCTTATGTGCCTTTGGGGGAAGAAATCACGCTGGCCTAAGTTCGGCGTGTTGCTTGGGAGCGCGGTGGTTGGCGGCACCCGCGACGCTTGACCTTACATTGGTTTATCTGGTCTGTCGCACACTGTGTGGCCAAATTCCGTCTGTCAGGTCGCTGCGCCATGCGGTTTTGCGCGGCTGCAGTGGAAAGTCGGTTTGTTCGGTGCCATTGGGGGAAGGAACACATGCTGGTGTAAATTCGGCGTGTCGCTGGGGAGCGGGATGTCCACGAGTCTCATCTTACTACATCCGTAGCAACAACTCTAGAAACATGCGAGCTGTATGTATACTTGTAGAATCTTGTAGCATACATGCAAATGCAGCTATAAAACTCTCAAATGTATGTATACACATCTCTTGCTACACACACCCTCTTCTACATAACCTTTCCTTCTGTGCTCGGGCCATCCGTCGTCTAGTTCAAAAGAAAACAAGAAAGAAGCAGATATATACGGTTGAATACACGGCTTGAAGAGGAGCATTGGGCAGCGCGACATCACCTCTCCACACTGCAATTACCTCAGTTGCATGTTCTTCAAGCACTCCATGCTGCACTTCCTCAAGCCAACATACCACCCGTGGATATGAGATGATATGAGTGTGCACAATGCAAAGTGAGGGGTGAGTGAGACTAGCTCCAAAGTGCATCTCGTGGTCATAGTCATATTTGCTTAACAGCTGCTGAAGGGTCTTGACTCTAGAATCATAACCTCGTCTGAATTGCACCACCAGAAAAAGGTAGGGACGGTGCAAACGAAAGAGTAGGTTGGTTCGAAGGGATGGGAGTCAAGAGGTGAGGCTCCAGGTCCATTCAGGATAAGCTAATACAATCAATGCCTTTGAAACATTCGAGATTCGACCTAGACCTGCTCTAGTGCAAGTAGGCCTTTGTATGTTATTGCGTGTCTTCTTTTGACGGCTTGACAGTTGAAGCTTTCTACTCTTCAGCAGGGTCGCCCTTGGTTGCTTTATTAAATGTATTGCAGAGTTCCCCCGCTTTAAAGGATGCACAATGATGTTGCACTGCACGTTTCAAGCATTGGATGCGCTAAACAACCAAATCCGTCGTGATTGTCTTCCATATGATTAATTGGAAGGCGCTGCCCTCCCCAGGTCCCAAACTGCAATTGATGACAGTGATGGGCTGCTTGCTCATCATGATCCCAAGATGGGAATGCCCATCCCCTTCTCAAGTGTATGACCGTATGCCCCCTTGAGCTCCAAGCAGTTTTGAAATGCCTCTACATATGAGCATGCACCTCCCAAGCAATAGTCTCTGCACAGCAAACGGCCACTCTTCAGGGTTGGTGTTCTAATTACATGGAATGGCTCCTTCTCTGCAATTGAAGTTGTGCGAGCTGCTGGAAGAACGATGTTCAGGATAGTAGCAGGTATCCAGCCAACAGCAGCCACGCATGCACGGAAGCCAACAATGCCACTACATCTCACCTGCAAATACTTCCAGGTCTCAAGGATGAGGTCTTGCAAAACGCCATGACTTTCAAAAAATCCAATCTCCAGTCATTGCCAATCCCAGCTGGGTGAGGTGCGGAAGCTGCTGGTGCTGCGTCCATATGCACCTGAAGAGGATGTGTTTTGATCCTGAAGGTTGGGCAAGAAACCTCCACCTGGAACTGACGGAAGGCTTCCGCAATGCAACTTCTTGAGCCAAAAAAGGCGTGTGAACAAGAGCGCTGTGACCACAATGAACACACTGCAGGCGCTGCACCGACAAACTAACTCGACAGCGCCTGGCCGAAAGGCGCTGACACCTCGATGTGGTCGCCCACAACCCCCAAAGGCCCATCATCGTGACCTGCCGAACGATTTGTGCTTTTAAATGTGGCGAAGTGTAATGGGATGGGATTTATGATGTGCCGACTTGCAACTACTGAGTGCGGGGATGTGCTGTGTATTGATTTGTGGGCTGGACTCTCTTCTTGTGTGGAGGCTTTGTAGACATTTCTCTAGAGTCTCTGCTCTTCTAGGTGCTTTTGTACGACGACAATCTATCTCTACTTTTTTTTCTCTCTCGAAATCTCTACCTTTCAAGACTGTTTTCTAGACATCACGCCTTTCTATACTTTTTCAAGAATGTCTGCACTTGTTCAAAAAACGCTGCTTTCCATATATGTCTCCATCATGCACCGAAAAAAGGGTTGCCCCTATAGAAAAAGAAAATGTAAAGGTTCCTTGGAAGAAGTTCAGCAGAAGAGATGCCTTCATGAGGGTATGGAAAAGTAGGGGCCCCTAGTAGAGGCTTCCAGTAAATAGTAAAGGTAAGTCGATTTCCCATGCAAAGGTTTATACATTTCTATAACTCTAACAGTCTCTACCTGTCTATACCCCGTGAGAAAGCTCTACTTGTCCGCCTTGTCAAACTTCACATTGCTATGGAACCTGTGCTGTTCTACCCGTCTCTTTGAAACTATATATTCATGTTTCTCCTCTAAATTCTGTTTGAGAACATGTTACATTTCCTTGCCAATGTCGACTTTCTACACTTCGATCGAAATCTACTTTCCATAACTTTTGTTCATGAACGTATATTTGTCTACTATACTTTCTTCAGCTTTGCTTTTTTGTCAAGCCAAATTAACAGCAAAGTAAAATCCCCGACACCTATATAAACCCACCATCCCACCCGGCCGCCACTATCGAGCACATCTACAACTTCGATTCGCCACCATGACGTCCATTCCCTGATGGAAATATGTCATGTGTTTTACCGGAATTCCCTGTCTGCCACTCTTGAGTTACCCAATTTTTTGGTAGTTCGGAACATTCTTGACCAAACGTCCCTTGTATGTTTGCCTTTGGTCTTGAGTTTGACTAGTCCTTACCAACATCAAGAACAAAAACAAGAACGTTTTGTGAGTTTTAACCCACTGTATTTTCCTTTGTTGAGTTGCCTTTTTCTCGTCGCTCCGCCAAGGCAACCGCGCAAGTCAGAAACCTCAGTTGGAGGCTGTTGTCGGCACCATCCACCTCCAACAAAAGCACCCTTGGGACCGCGCATGCAGGAATTGCTATGTTTCGCGCTGTATTGGCCTAAGGAATCGTTGAAGAGGTGCTGTCGGAGACGATATGCATCACATGCAGTGCGCTAACCAAACACACGCTGCGCTTCTTAGGTTCTTGATCCACGATGCCCCAAAACAGAGCGCATGGTGGAATTGCACATCCTCACAAATGCACTAACAAACGGCCACACCACGTGAACTCAGAGTTCGCGCCACTATTGCACATGTAGCCAAATATGATTTTAAGAAGAGCCGAAAGCACACGCGATCAAGCGGAGGTCGTCTACAGAGAGGCACACACTGGGAAAGGGGGTTGAGTACGGAATCGGTGTAGCTAAGTCCATGGGCGAAAATATACCGGGGAAAGGCGACATCGTGTGTGAGGCAGAAGACTGCAAGGACAATGGAATATTGGAGCCAGAGCTTGAATACACGTGTCGTTGGACTGCCACTGTTGCAAGTCAGGCAGCCCCCTGCTTGCAACGGTGACCAAAGCATTCCACCTGCACTATCCGCTTGTGATAGCGGCTTGCACGCACACTGCCCTCCCTCTCCATGGAGGGCTCAGTCGCTTTCATTATCAGTGGCTGCGCCAATTTTGGCCACACCCTGAGCCATTCAAGTCGATTTCTGACTTTGGTGGTGGCAGCCTTGATAGTTTTCCCTGTATCACCATTTACCCAAGGAGGCTGTTTCTTCCAACCAGCCCACAGAACCTGAGTTTATCCTGCATCAACAACGCAGGTACAGTTTTGCTTGGAGATCACAGCGCAACCGTGTGAGACCGGGCGCAGCGCTGAGGAAGCAGCCACTGAAGACTGACCGATAGTTTGAGTTCAAACGTCGATATCGCCACGTGAATGTTGCAAAGACTTGGTGTCAGAATTGATTGCAAGTTTTTCCAAATGTTAACGCACGCAGTCAGTTGCTTGCGCACAAGCAAGATTACACCACCTTTTATGTGTCACGCGTGTCTTTTTTAGCCTGTCAGAAACTGGCGTTTGCGAGAACGAGTTCGCGCTCGCTGTTGCCGGGCGTAACTACTCGGCTGGGTTTCCTCTGACCGCGTGTTCGTGTGGACGCCACCGTATTGGGCCCATACGATGGAGCCACTGCGTCGATGAAGGGATCCGTCGCGCCGTTGCGCGAGGTCATGGATGGAAGGCGGCATATTGAGGCTGGTTGCGCCATTCATCTGGCGACCTTGAAGAAAAGATCTGCACATTCAAAATGGTTGTCAAGCAATCGGTCAGAATGTACAAGCAGTGCTCGGCATGTCTCTAATTGCACAAGAACCGCCACATGTTGGGATGGAAGGGCTTGTATGCTTGAAAATGGCATCTATCGTTGTCGACATCAGTGGAGTCTAAAATCAGAGCCCTGAAAGCATGCTACGTTCATAAAATGATCGAGGCAAAATCAAAAAGAAACGTCAACTAAGACACAGCTCCTATGAGTGTGAACGCGGCATAAAAGCACATGTCAATGTACACACAACGCCCTGCTCACACAACGGCATGCACTCCAGGAGGAAACGCGGAGTCAAAGATTGTTGAAAGGCAATCAGAATCTGATGATGACGCGAAAGACCAGGATCGCATACAGTGCATAACGTGATCAATTTGGTCTGGGCCAGTGATCACGCACGCGCAAAAAGACCAGAAAAAGGAACAGGACCGGGCCCGATACTGCGCAAAGCGCGACATTGTTAGTTACTTCGATAGCTGGAATACGGTGATGGATTGCTGAAACGCGTCAACGTCAAAACCCAAGGCATCATGCCCTTCGGCCACGAACGTCTTCCACAATGGAAACAATGTCAGCAAAACCGTGAGGAATCGATCTTGGCCAGCTCCAACAAAGCGGTCGCCAAAGCGGTTCCCATTTTCTGGAGTTCCGCGTGGGAGGAAGTGCGCTAGAGTAAGTTGGTTGCGTTCGGCAATCGCCCGTGGATACTTCTTACTGACCCACCCAGAAGAACGCCGAAGAGTGGATTGCAACGGAGGCTGGCTGCGCGCCTGACCGAATGAAAGACGCCGCAAGAAAGTAAGATACTGTCCAGGTAGTGATCAGCTGGAGAACTTGCAACGGTGCAAGTTTGTGACGGGCCGGGTGAATGTGGTCTGTCGCTGCTTCACGAGCAGCTACGCTGCGTGAGACGTGGGCGTTGCTCACCGTGGTCCGGAAGCTGGTGACAGGCGCTCCGCAGTATCAGCAGGTGTCCAATAAGGATTTTGTGAGAAATTCAGCAAAACTTGCGTAATCGCGCAAAGTTTGGCGCGCGAAGTTGGGGCGGGAAGGACGCCTGATGGTGTAGCGTGAACTCCACCAGCCATTTGCCAAATAAGATTGGCAGGCGGGGCCTCGCCCCGCAACGCAAGAATCCACATCAGTTGGCTGAGCCTACAGGTCCGGATTGGTTCCGGAAGCTTCGTCATCGTCGCGCGCCAAAGCAAGAACGCAAAGTTGACAACTTTGTGCGAAGGGACCTTCGCGCGTGAAAATTTGTCATTGCGTCAGCAAAGGCGGTGATATGCAATTTGCGTAGCATACAGAGCGTGTCAACAGGGGATTGATTGATGGCCAGTTGAAACAAGGTCGGAATGCATTCTGGGAAGCTGTTTCTGCAACAAATAGTTAATGAGGTGAGACTGGCTGTAACATCGAAAAAGGATTGTTGGGAATGCAAAAGTTTGATTGAGAGCAGGCTCAATATAGCCAAGACCCTCTGCAGACTTGTTCGCGATGAAAAGCATTGTACTACATAGCACGGATGTAGTGTTGAGAAGAAAGATGATGAGCCCACAGATAAGCGACTGTGGCTGCGCGAAACCATTGTTGATCAAGACGAAACGGAAGATTGAGAAGTTTGAAGAATGTGGAGCCATCGTCGTTTTGCACGCAGACATGGGATAACGTTACATGCGTCAGAAACCCTTGCCCGCGAAGCCACAAGAGACCAATTGTAAATCAACTGCAGCGCTCCATACCATCTTGTTCGTCTTGAATAGTAGCACGACCTCTCCAAGACTGTTCATCCTTGTTTCAAGCCTTGGGTTGTGCCCCTTCCAGCTTTTCCTTCTGTGACGAATTTAAGGCATTGGTGAATCTTCAGCGGCTTCATGTCCAGACACTTGTGAACCTGTCGGCATCGAAACGACCGATTCGCCTTGAGATTCAGCGCTTGCATTCATCTGCGAGTCAGGTGTACACTGTAAACGAATATATAAGCTGCTCCACTCATTGTTTCCGAGCTTGGCGTCGGTGTAGGTTAGCCATCGAGGATCTATGATAAGAACTTGTATATACACTACACTAGAACATGTTTTCTGCTTTAGCTGCTGCGCTACTCGCAGTTGTCGTCGATTCATGTTCGTTTTGGAGTGGGTTTCTAGCGGCTTCTAGCGGCTCTGCATGGAACAAGGCAACAGGCATGGCCTTTCATAAAGCACCGGGCTCCAGGCCCAAATCGATCACTTCCACCTTATTAAGTCAAAATCTACGCAGGCGAGATGTGAAGTCACGGAACATTGCATCCAAGCTTCATCCACGCCATGGTGTTTCTTGGCAAGGTCAAGGTACCTTACAACCAAGCATTGAAAGCTTCTTATATACATGGGCATCTTGACTGAGACAAGTGCACAGCCAAAGGGCCTTTTGATGGCCTTCCCGCGTCAATCAAGCAATCATCATTGGCCAAGCATGCACGCGTGATGATTGGCCCACTGAGCCCAAACAAGGATGAAAGCTCGTCTATGGCGATTCGGCACTTTTCTCGAAACGGACAGTCAGGATCTCTAAGAGCTCTACTTAGAGACTTAGAGCTCCAACAGCGCCGAGTTTAGAGTCACTAAGATTCGATGCGACAAACCCTGAACAAAAGTTGCACATGTATCTCCCGGACGCATTGCAGAAGGTGAGCAATTTGGATCCTCTGACACAGCTTTTGAATACACATCCAGTGGAGTTTGTGCAGGTGTGGCTTCATTATCTCCAGTGGAGTTTTGCAACAAGTAGTTTAATTGAATGTAAACCTTGCAGGCGCATGGTCAATTCTTGAAGTGGAGTTGTTGCATGCCAGCTGGCAGAAAGCCACCTGCAGAAAAATTACTTGAAGTTGCCTTGAAGTGGGCTTCGTTTTGCGCAGGCGAAGCATGGCGCTTTGCCAGCGCTGTAGATCTCACAAGCCCACACTCATGAAAAAAGTCCAGACGAGCACAGTGTTTCAAGAGTACCTCTACGAACACACTGGCTAGCGCGCAAATCAGGAGAACGATTTACTGGCACGAGAAGGACAAGAGTGCGGTTCTTTATGGTGGGAGGGACTTGAAGACCACACCTGGCAAGCATGCATTTGAAAAAGAAGTAAATTGCGCAAGAGAGATAGGCACTGCAGCAGCACAGACCTGAAGCCTTGTGAGCAACAGACTGGACAGCGCTTTTTGAGAGCGAGTTTGAAAGCTACATTACACACAGTTATACGATAGATCCTGAACCCTAGACCTTGATGCGTAAGAACAAAGGCAACATGATCTGCTTCGCTTTGCTTTGTGGAGGTTTCTTCTGAAACCTGTTGCTTTCACGCTTGCAAACTGGACAGCTCACGCGCAGCTACATGTAGCTACTCTGCTGGTCTAAAGGAGGACTGCAGGAAGCAACATGAAGGACCCCACCTTGTTTGCCTGGCTATGGACAGCCACAACATCTTCACAACCTCACCGAGCGAAGTGGAAAGAACAAGGAACCCCAGTGTTTCTAGGCAACTGCATGCCACTGTATAAGGTCAAGGCCTGTTCAGCAACTCCGGCTGAACTGGACAATTCTCGAATCACATCCTGCACCTGACATCTCCAAGCCCAGCAATGTCCCCGAGCACGCATGACCAAACAGCGACTGAAAGCACCAAGAACCTTTAGCTATGGGGGGCCATGATTGCTCGAAAACAAAGCCCGTATCTGGGGCAGAATTGGTTCTAACATCGGTCTGACGCATTTAATCAAGTGCAACATAGTGCCAAATGCATTTCGTGCATGCTGCAGGTTGTGGCAGCTGTAATTGATCCACAATTGTAGCTCCCATTCATGAAAGTAGGCCCACAGATTGCGCCATAAAGGTTTGTCGAACATCAACCCAGCGTGGGCAGTTTTCGCAAAGCGACCACAACCTTTTCGGGAGCAGTTCCTGTGCCCAAGCGTTATCGTTCACGCACGGCCTGCTGCGCGCTCTGCATGGCTCCGACTGCGTGCCACTCCTGCAAAATGGCTGATGGACTGGCTCGACAAAGGAAAAGAGTCTAAACGCCACAAGCAGCACACTAAACAGTCACCATTCTCTTGCGCACACATGCTAGAAAAGAGTATTGCGCGCGCCTGTGATCCTACGCAGCAGTGTGTGTGTAGCCCTTGGAGTCACAGGGATCCTGTTGGATTGTGTTCGTTTCTTGTTTTTTAGTAGGGGAGTGCGGCATGATTGTGGGACCGCACTCAACGAAGCTACCTCAGTCATGGGATACCGAGTCTGATCAACTCGGCAAACCTGCAGCTTTACCAGAGCAACTTCCTCATGGACCCTGCTTGTAACTAGAACAAGAATTCCAGCCATTGCACCTGTTTGCATCGGCAGTCACGCACTTGATCTTGACTTTGAGCTTGCAGTTTGAACTTAGCGGTGGGGGCAGTCATTTGATGTTTTGTTTACCTGGACCCTTTGGGCTGGCGTGTGGCAAACCGCAACCAAATCAGTATGCATTTCTATAAGTGTGTCTCTCCTCGTGAGAGCTCAGGGTGAGCCCGAAGAGTGCCCCCTGTGGACCCTTCGAACGGGGGTTTGTCGAACGTATCCCCTGCCCGGATACACGTAGGAGGCTTATGCCAAAGTTTTTTGCCAAGACTTGATGGGTTTAAAGGCTTACGCCTAGCAGCCGGGCGCCGGCCATTGTTGAGCCTATGCAGGGTGGTGCCTATGTTGAGCCTACGTTGGCCTACGTTAGGCCTATGTTGGCCTATGTTGGCCTAGGTTGGGCCTATGTCGGGCCTACGTTGGCGTATGTTGGCCCCGTGTTGGCCTATGTTGGCCCTATGTTGAGCCATCTTGGAGGCTATGTTGGGCATATGTTGGGGATATGTTGGCTATCTTGGGCCTATGTTGAGGATACGTTGCGCAATTTAAGTCGTCTGGGGGGCCTCTACCCACAAAATGTCGATTACGCCTGTCCGCCCGGCGCGCATAACCGACACCACCCTTGAAAAACACAGCATTTTTGCATTTCTCCCTCTGCACCGCGTCGCACTTTGATATGCGCAATAAACCCTGTAAAACACAGTGTTTCTTATACCTCACACACACACGAAACACTGTAAATTACAGGGGCTTCAGTGACTCGGAGGTGGGGAGGAAGTGGGAAGGGGTTCCGCCCGTTTTGGTGACGAGGGTCGGCGGCAGGGGGCGCGACCGTATATAACCTTCAGTTACCACCGAAGGCCCTCCGGGCAGGGCACGGGCGCGTGGCCGGCGCCCGGATTATTGAATTCTGAGTGCGGACAAGCCATAAGGGACCAAAGCAGTCAGCAGGGGCACGCCGGCGCCACCACGTGGTCGCCGCGACCAAAGCTTGTTCAAGGCTCAATCAAATCTGTCGGGACCTTAACCCCCTTCCTCCCCCTACCCTCCCTCTCTTTCTTTGCCTTTTGGGGTGTTCCTGAATGTAATACTCAGGTTCACCCCTCTCCCTGGTGTGTCCCTGGAGAATTGCTCGTAGCTGGGAACACCTGTCCACTTCCTTTTCTTCTCTCTCTCTCTCTCTCTCTCTTTTTCTCTTTCCGCTCCTTCCCCTTCCTTCTTGCTTGGGTGCCCCTGGATGCTTTCGTCATAGCTGGGAACCCTTTTTCCTTTCTTGGTGTGTCCTTGGACGCTTGCGTCGTAGCTGGGAACACCGTCTTTCCTTTTTGTTTTTCCTCTCCTTCTTCTCTCTCTTCTCTCCCTACCCCTCCCTTCCTCGTACACAGTGCGCTTACATTCAAACGAGGTCCTCGCAACAGGTTTTCAATGAGGTTTGGCTTTCATCGGTTTCTGTCCCCGTCATTTGGTTCCCCTTTTTTCATTGCGTTCCCCTTCACACACCTTTCTCTCCTCTTTTCTTTCACGTCTCCCTGTCTTCATGTCCGGGCATTTCATTCTTTCTTTTGCGCACACAGTGGTCCGGCCCTTAGCGCGCACGCGCACAACTACATTTACATTTAACCTAGGACCTAAGTTTCAAGTCGCCCAGGTCTGAAAATGAGGTGGGTTTCATTGTTTGTCCCTGTGCACCTGGCTCCTCTTCATTGCAACCACGTACACCTTTGTCCTGTCTTGTCCTCTTTTCGTGTCTTCATCCTTTTGTCCGCGTTGCGCGCACACGCGCGCACATTCGCCTTAACCGTAGTATTTCGCCTCTCGTCGGAGAGGCGTGTGTGTGTGTGTAACCCTTGGAATCAAGGGAACCTTTTGGTTTGGAACAGGGGGCGTGACGGTCGATTTCCCAGTCACGCCAATGAAGCTATGGAAATCGACTGGATGGAAGTTTGGACGCAAACTTCCGTAGCTGTTCCGCTATTTAGGAAAACAGGAGGAAATGGTACTCGACACACTTGCGTGTCGGTGCCTTTCCTTCTGTTTCCTCTAGGCTACTCTACAGGTTTGCAGGTAGGCCTCCAAACTTTGTAAGGGGTTCTTTAACCTGAACTTTGGCCTCCACCCACTAGATTGGCCCCCAACTTGCTGTCTTGCGCTTCTTGTGCTTTTGCGCTTCTTGTAACCTTGTAGCACTGGCCTCCAACTTGGTACCCTGGCCTCCACCCACTAGCAAGGACCTCCAACTTT